CCTCCTGCGGTTAGCGCTCCTGACCCAGAAGCGAGAGGGCGTGAGTTCAATTCCCGACTTTGAAAAGTTTGAATTTCTTTCCCAGAAATTTTCAAAATTGTCCAATTCAACTGCAGACATTGGGAAAGATTGTTTTTGAAAAGAAGTTCGTGGCGCGGCGCCCCTGTGGTTAGCGCTCTGACCCGGAAGAAAGAGGTCGTGAGTTCGAATCCCGACTTTGAAAAGTTTGATTTTTTTTCCAGAAATCCTAAAGATTGTACAAATCAAGTGCAGACAATGAGCAAGACTGTGTTTTGGCCAATAGTGTCAATAGAAGAAGTTCGTGGCACTCCAGTGGTTAGCGCTCCTGACCCGGAAGCAAGAGGTTGTGAGTTCAAATCCCAACATTGAAAAGTTTACATTTTTTCCCCCAGGAATCTTAAAATTTGTCCAGTGCAACTTGTGTAGACAATGGGAGAGATTGGTTTTGGCCAATTTTCGATAAAAGAAGTTGTAATTTTCATTAAAAAAATCATGATTTCTCCGAAAAATAATTCTTTCAAATCTTCAAAATAAACTTTTTGATCCCCCGGAAAATAAGCCAAGTTCTTGGTGATCTTCTGAGTACTGACCGCTCCTGAGATGTTGTTTTTTACCATCGATTCTCGTGAAAAAGGTCAATTTTTATTTATTTATTTATTATTTTATTTTATTTTTTTTGGGGGGGAGAAATCTGTAAAACCCACAAAAATCAATTCGAAACCTCTAGGGTTTTCAATTTGATAAGGAATAGAAAGCTTAATTTTGATAATCACTGATTATTAATTAAAAAAAGAAATTTTCATAATATTTAAACAAACTTTTTATACCCCGAGAAAAAAGTTTGCTGTGGTCTTGTGGCTAGCACTCCACTGGCAGACCTCGATCCAGGCGAGAGATTGTGAGATTAAAAGCTAGACCGTGATTTTTTTGGTCAAGAAATCTCTTAAAATCTTCCAAATTTATTGATTAAGATATCTAATCCACAGTTTTTTCCGGCCCCCAGGTTGACATTTGAACCCCCGATAAAATCAAAGCGCCACCGCGAACCTGTACAGCTGTTTGGGCATTTTGGAATGAAATTTTTATTTTTAGACGGGTGCTCTACCACTTGTCAACATTGCCTAGCAGTGTCACGTCCAGAAAGGAAACTAGGCACGCGGGATAGAACCTAACCTACCTATCCACGCAGTAAGCAGGTTAGGGCGAAATTAGAATCAATTCAAGATATTGGTACGTAGAAAATGTAAATTTTTCATGCTGCTGAAGTAGTACCAGATTCCAGAAGGCTGCCAGCTCAGCCTCTTCACTTTGTGTTTTAGTTACCCAGGCCTAGCCTGTCCACAATAATTTGTAACTCATCACATGTACATGTACAGTGTACGTGTGTACGGACGTTATGTTTGCTGCGCTGCGGCGCGGCCTAAGTCCCGGCCTAAGAAAGGTAAAGCATTTTCATGATTGAGACGTGCACGTAAATCGTTGAACCTCCTGCCATGCCTCCCGACGCTTAATAAAACCAACATAGTGGTACTGAAAAGGCTTCAATATTTCGACTTCTAGGGTTTTGGAGGTAGATTAGCCACCTAAAAACCAGTATACAATGGATTTATCTCCTGATCTCCTGTTGAAATCAACAGGAGAGAAATAAGAGGCGATTTCTTTCCACACAGGACTGGGCAGATTTGGAAACTTGCAAGGTCAAATTTTATGTTTATGTTGGGTTGATGACATCACGGGGAGAAAGGCACAACAGACATGCATGAAGCATGCATAAAGATACACGTAAGCCGACTTCGTGTGGCCCAGGAATGCATCAAAATGAGTTTTGTTGATATGCAGATAATGCAAAGTGTCAATCTCTAAGTTGTATAAACCTAAAATCTTACTCATAATAGTGAGATTTGTTCCGAAATGATGGAGTACGAGACATTGAAGGTGGAGAGTGCGCTCGTGTTCGTGTGCAGTATGGGAACAGACTATTCCTATAAGGCAGTCAGCGTAGGAGTCAGTACCCAGACCGGAATCTTGGAATATTTGGAATCTTGGGCTGAATCATGGGCTGCATGAACCTTGTAATGTAGCTTAAGCCTCAGAACTTAGACCAGCACGCAGGCTTGTTTATTGCCAAGCCTATGATGTTCAATGTGTCAAAGGAAAAGAGATAAACACATACAGGATTCTTCTTGTGAAAATGAGTTGATTCAGTTCCTATGAAAGTAACCATTTACTCAACGATGAATGAGGACGGCGGCAAGCAGCCCGGCAGTGTTACGGGGCATATTGCTGTGGCAGTCCCAAACACCAGGCAGTGGTCCAGCAGCACGGCATGGTACATACACCATACCGGCAGATGCAATACAACACAAGCAGTCGGCGAGGCTTATGCTTTGCTTTTCTCAGTTCGGAGTGCTTTTGCAGACACTGAATATCGAAGCAGTCCTTAAAAATCCTTGGCACAGTATATTCCATTTGCGACAACCGGGAAGGTTTATAATTTACCCTTAATGCGCTGTCCAGGAATGATCGATTCAACACGGTTTTGCACGGAAACGTAAACACCAAGTCTCAGTGTTCCAGATTCCTGCCCAAAACTACAAACTGCACAAGACCAGGGTATGTTTTATTTTTATGACAAAAACACAACAAATCATGCACTTAAACTTGATGGATGGAACATCAACACAGTATACAAGAACCGCGCAAAAACATTACATTTGGAGCTAGCCTCTACAACGAGACTTGTGCGAAATATACACACTGTTTACACCGTACGTGTATCTCCCCTGTGACGTTTAGGGGTCACCAGCATATCATGAATAAATAATGAGCATTTCTAAAATTGGCAAAAAGGAGCCCATGTTTGGAACATTTTTTTAGCCATAAATGGGAAAAGTGTTCCATTTTTTCATGTTAATTTTGAAAGATGGCCTTGTCACTGATTGTTTAAAGGTTATAATTGGGGAAAAAAGGTTTTCTTTTTCCTACCTCTTTCAGTGTCTATCCATGCATGTATCCGGGTACATGTTAACCTAGGTAATTTGAGGCCTGGAAATTTTGCTTAAAAGAGTTGAGGTCATTCGTGTCCTTCATACCTGTATAATTATCACTTATCCTCGCGGTCGGCGCAACCTCACTATGGACTTTTGGAACACGGCAAAGGAGCAAATTTATCCTTCGTGCTATTCAACAATGTACTGAAGTTCCTGGATGTCCGACTGTGAGACTCAGTCTGACGAATCGGTCATGAGCTTGATGTGATGAGAATGAGAGTTGTGCATCTAGTACCATTGTACATTGTGTCCTTACCGGTAAATTTTTCAAACAGCATGCCGCTTGTCTTTATTCTTCATTATGCGTCATATAAGTATATACAAACACTTGCATATCAACCCCTCAACATACATACATTTAAGATCAGTGTGTTACATGTACATGTATACACACATGATCACTGCTCTGCCCTACTCATTGCTATCAGCAGAGCTGTAAATGTCTTGTAAAGGGATTTCAAGTAGTCATCCATATTTTTACAGTACAGTCTACGCTCGTTACGAATTCTGCTGGACCCAGTGAAAATAGTTGTTGTATTCAAATACCACTGCATACAGAGCAGTGCACTGGCTTCCGGTCTCAGGTTCACCACCTGCACAGATCTTACTATGCATGTACAGTATGTGTCTGTGTTACTGGGACAAATCAAGTATCTGTAACTGCAGCAAAAGGAGGGTTAAAATTATTCCAAAAAGTGAAATGTACTTTTAAGACAAATGAAATAAAAACACCAAGACAGTTGAATGTATAGCTAAGGATGAAATCAGTGTAATACTGTCGAGAATGTCATGACTGATGATCAGCTGTCTTTCCTTCAAATTGTGTCATGGAGAGATTGATTGTCCCTTCATGTTGTAATATACAGTGTGTGACCCCTGTTTTCTTTGAGCATTTGGCATTGTTGGGGAACAGAGAATTTTTGTCCCCACAACTCGATCTTACTTGCTTGATAAAAACTCTCCCCTTAACTCACTCTGTGAAGGCCTATCCACACCCACACATGCATATTCAATTTTCAGCCTGTGAACAGTTTACATTGTAAATCAAAATTGTATGTTTTTGCTTACTTAAATCTTACAAATTCCTGTGTTTGTCAGGCTGCTCAGATTCATCATGGGTACCAAACGTAAAGGGGAGATGATCCTAGACCAAGATCCAGACTATGAGATGGTATCTGCTATGACGACCAGCAAAAGGCAACGACTCTTTGAGAAAGATGGTATCAAATATTTTTTCATTCTAACGTAACTAAATTGGGCCTAAGGTTAGGACGCATCATGTGGAGGACTAAATATTGCTCAAGTTTGCTGGGAATGTTGAAGAAGCTAGATGAAATTACCCCGCTGACTGCTGGTTAACCTTTTACCCAAACTGCGTGCACCTCCATTGCAGAACTTGTGTCCATTGTCCTTACTTTGCCAAGTCTGGCAAACAGTGGCAAAGATTAGGAATTAGTAACACATCAAGGGGTAATAATTCACAGATGAAATACTCACAGAAAAGCTACATACTAGCTGACTTAAATATTGACACCTACATGTACATGTACCGCTATGTATGTCAGCATTGAAGTATACATTTTACAGAAGATGGGTAGGTATTGTATGTACATGTGAATTATAAGTGAAAAATCCATCCATAAGAGCATGAGTAACATCACATTGTCAATGTGCATTCGAAAAAATGTGCCCATTTGCCATATCACTTTGTTGTTCCATATTGCCAGTTTCATGACTGCAACTATAATTCTGTCTTTTCTACCAGCCAGGGACATCACAGTTAAGAAGATGGAAGGTATCATCAAGCGTCAGTTTGCTATTGAGATGAAGCATAAAGAGAAGGAAGTCGAACTGATTGACGAGGTACACAATGTATATGCAGTGGTCAGATAAGGCATCAGAAAGACGGACCAAAAGTTCATTCTATTGCCCTTTTCAAATTCTTTGACATTTCTTTGAAATGTACATGTAAATTTTTCATATTAAATGTTCCTGGTTGATAATTGAAATTATATACATGTACTGTAATTTTCAAGATTATCAAGATTTTATCGTATATCCTGGACACCATAACTTTTTCTGACTGCTTGGAATAAAGGGCAAGAGCTGCTGCACGGCCCACGCAGGACAATCATCCAGCCCCCAAAAATGATTAAATATGAGGACTTACAATTCACTTTTTTATGGTGACACTCGTTAGCACTTTTCTTACATCCATGTACTGGTGCTTCAACCCGCAGCACTTTCATGGTTGGATTGTCAGCACTGCCCTGCAGTTCATACGCCGGTGTGGCTTATACGCTGACTTTAAATTTTCAGTTGCCGAATTTTGTGTGCTACGGCTTATACACCAGGCAGCTTAAATTCCGAAAATTACGACATACTAGTACACAATGTACCTAGACGTTCACATGATGCCTGGTTAGAAACATCAATACCACCTTACCCCAAGCTGATAGTGCCGTCGCAAAAAGCAATTTCTTTTGTACTCTGTTTTTCTGTCAATTATGCGTAATGTGAACTGTGTCCTGTTGTTAACAGAATATTTCCTTCTCCTCCCCCCTCCAGAGAATTCATCAGGCAAGAGCCATGCTAGATAAGTTGCGAGCGTGTATCGTGGCAAACTACTATGGAAATATTGGACTTGGCCATTCGTCTGCAAAAGGGGAGGTAGGCATCTTGGGAGATAATCTTCACTTCATGAAATTTTATAGCGTTGCAGTAGACCTTTTGTGGACAGACCATCTCAGCTGAAAAATTTGTTATTCAATACTGTAGTCTAATAATAAATTGGGATCATGTGACATGGATGAAATTTTACGATAGTCTGATGAGTTATCCACTGACTGTCCATTGTGTTTTGCATTTGCCTTCTTGGAAACAACTCTTTCTTATGCAGAAAACTAGATCCACCAAAGCTAATCTGGCCCACCCGGCCATCCAACGCGCCCTCAAGAACAAACCCAAAATGCCGTCCCCCTCTGAAACCCCAGACCTGGCTTCGGCAGACAACATTGCCTCTACTGGCACCCCGAACCTGTCAGCCATGGCTGACATTCCCAGCACTCCAAGCAGTGGGCACTGGTCCAGCCAGCAGAGCGAGCGGTCGTCGCCAGAGTCAGAGCAGCTGAGCAGGGTGGAGCTTGCCGAAGTAGAGGAGGAGCCTAATGGAGGGGGCGGGGCCAAAGGACCACGCAACTCTGGGCCTGTATGTTAACTCCATTACACATGGCTGTAGCTCTCTGTTTGTTTGACACACTCTTTAAATTTAATGAAGTAAGTCTGTATGAAATGTTCGGCAAGCATGGGTTGAAATATACAGTGTGTTTGTAAAAAACAGGAAACCAGAACTAATTTCTTCATTTCTTGGAGGTGGCTAATATTTGGAAATTGGCAACCACCGTTTATAAACTAATGATGTCCTCTTTCTTATGACACCAAGAAATCCAATTTACTGTCACAGATGACTGAGCACGAAGCAGTTCAATCAACCATATCAGAACTGGTCTTACACCAGATTCACCGCAGCAATTTTCATACCTATAAAAAAGAAGAAAGACCAGCGTGTCCGTAACAAAATTTTACATAGTTGATATCTTGGGGTGGCGACTTGTAAACTTGGTCCTTAAGAAGTCCCCACAAAAAGAAATCTCCAGGAGGTGAGGTCAGGAGACCTTGGTGGCCGCTCAATTTCATGGTTGATCGCAATTGCTCTCGTGTTGAACAACCTTGCGTAGTCTTTCCCTCACGACGATCCGACGATAAGCTGGAGCTCCATCCTTGGTAAAAAGTGCAACAGACTTTGTTTGTTTGGTTCATCCATTCAAAGAGAATAATGGAGTCTTATTCTTTTCTTTTCAGGATACCTTTGGAGTAGGTCCCCCTCTTCTGACACCCAAGCCTCTGGTTCCACAAGTGGACTTTGATGATGGCTCCAGATTCCATGTCAAGAAGAGGATCATTGTTGGAAATGTCTCAAAGTAAGTGAAGTGGTCTCCTTGTCAGTCTGTTGTCACAAACAATTCTTGTGTTCACCTTTTAATGATTGTCTCCTCGTTCAAGATCACACTGCTGTTCTGTATACAAGGGATGAATTAAGTGAGGGATGGGAACTTTGTCCCTTCCTTGAAAGCAGCTGTTATACTCAAAGAAGTGCATTGCTTTACTTGTCAGGTACATCCCTCCAGAAAATCGTGAGGACAGTGACCCATCCACCCATAAATGGATGGTTTATGTGAGGGGGCCACCGGAAGAGCCCAAAATTGATCATTTCGTCAAACGCATCTGGTTCTTCCTCCATCCTAGCTACAGACCCAATGACCTGGTTGAGGTTAGGTAAGTACTTGTACTATTCGTTTGGCTGACTGTGACGCAGTCACAGGCCAAACCTCATCTTGTACTGGTATTGACTTCCCTTCAGACTAGACTGGGACTGATTTCGTTGTACTACCTATTAAGCACAGAATCTTAGCCAACTGTCACAGAAAATCTGCACTAAGGATTGCTGTTTGTGCATTTGTCAGTTACGCAAGAAATATTGGTTTGTGTGCATGTGCACCTCTTTGAATTAAGATTCTCCCTTCAAAAAGGTGAAGATACAATTTTAATGTTAATTTGTAAGCACAGGAGGATAATCACAAGCACGGAATCCTATATTTTTCCAGCACTATGTTTATCTAAGTTGGGCTTCAGTGTTTCAAATCCTTGAAGATGTGCTACGAATAAGAAGTTTCACCTGCCGTCTTTTTTCAGGGAGCCCCCTTTTCATCTGACCAGGCGAGGGTGGGGGGAGTTTCCCATCCGCGTCCAGCTCCACTTCCTGGACCCCAGGAACAAGAAAGTGGATATTATTCACCCTCTCAAGGTATTGGAAATAGCCAGAGATACCACTGTCTGTCAGAACTAATGCATTGACAATCTGATAATTCCCTGCTTCCAAAAAAGAACTCAACAGACATCTTGATTATGATCTTTGAGCTGTAGAAAAAGCAGTTCTTGTGACGACAGTGTCACATAAAAGTGAGACTTTTTCTTGACTTTTAAACCATATTGGTATTACACACAAGAATTATGTAGTTCCTGGTCAATCCCGAGTGACTTTCTGACATATTTATGCAGAAAACAATGTCTTGGGAGCTTTCTTTGTTTGCTTTTTTACTGTATACAATTCAGTGCATTGAAGCTAAAACAGGCTATAATTTCACCCTGAGGGGCAGTCGTATTTCCTTTTTTGTTAGTAAATTTCTATTACTATTCCGGTAATAGAAGGGAGCTGTAGCTTTTTTGACATTTTTCGTATGTTTCTTCTGCAAACTTTTTGTCTCTTGTTTGATTCACAGCTGGACAGAACTTACACTGGACTGCAGACACTTGGAGCTGAGACGGTACGTATTGGCCAAATTTGCTGCGTTGGTTTGGTATCTGAAGTTTGGAAACCATACTTTTTTCGTGTGTTTTTGTTTAGTTTGCAAATGCTTAAAAGGGATGAATAAGTAAGCTCACTTTCTTCTTTGTGTGTTTAGATTGTTGATGTTGAACTGGATCGTTACCTGTTTGATGACCACGGTCAGCCCTTATCCAGACCAATGACCCCAACCATCACAAAGGTCAACTACCAAGAGGGCATCAAGCCAGGCAGCAGTCCAGGGACATCATGGGATGAGGCAAGATGGAAGATGGCTTCTCCAAGAATCAAAGAATCTACCAGTCAAATACCAGGGGAACAAGGAATGGGTCCTGTGACTGCCACAAAAAGATCAGAGCCCCTTGAGGCAAGTCCAGCTCGAGTCAATGGTCAAAAGAGTGAGGTCATTCAGAAGGTGGAACCACAAGTGGATCAACTCTCCGGTGAGGTCACAGTGTCTGCTGACCAGGGTCAGTCATTCAGCGGCATCATCGGTCCGTCAGGTATCCAGCCTTCTTCCCAAGCCCCTACCATGGGCACTGCCTCCACAGGCCAGATCGCCATTCAGCAACGCCAGGGCGGACAGTTCGTGCGTGTCATGCCACCCCTCGGTCCCATAACAAAGAGCACCGTAATAGCCCCAACCTCTCTGGGTGTCTTACCCCAGAAGGCACCAGTACCCATGCCATCCCCAGCCAAAGTTGTATCCCCAACAGATGACAGGAGTGGTTCAATTGTCGGTTCTCCCTCTTCCAGCCTCCCATCATCAGCCAACGTCTCTCCAACCCATTCAGGTGTTATAAATGTTGCCGATGCTGCTTTTACAGGGAAAGGTACCTTGGATGTCCGTATACAAGAAGGAAAGGTCATCCAAGAGGTCACCTCTCACACACAAGACATTATTGAGGGCAAGACAGAGGCAACAACAAATGTATCAGTGATTGCCCCAGCAATCATATCCCAAGCACAACAAGCAGGTGCTAGAGGCCCTACAGTTCTTCAGACCACAGCACCCACTAGACTTCAGAATGTGCAGGGCATCTCAGCAAGCACCGAGTCCCAGAAACCTTCTGAGCCGGTAGACGGCAGTGCACTTGGTACAAGCTCTCAGGCAGGAGGGATTGTGGTCCAGCCGACAAGTTCACAGCTGAACAAGCCAGTGATGAGTACCTCTCTGCCAGCCACCAGTGCTGGCATCCCTGTGGTCAAGAGGATCCCCTCCTCTGGAAGTATCACAGTCATCCCGACCAAGACATCGGCAGAATCCCCTAAACATTCACCCCCAGCCACTGCCTCAGGGATACCAACTCCACCGCCTGGGACTCAGTACTACATCACAGCCAACTCCACAGACCCCAATCTGCAAGGGAAGGTCATTCTCATCCCACAGCAGGTGTTCCAGCAAGCCTCTAGTCAGCAGGCACTGACCAGCGGGAAACTGGGTGCAGGGAAGGCATCCAGCCCCGCAGGGAAAGTAGGTGCTTCCAAGGTAGCCACTGCTTCATCCAAATCGCCATTCTTATCCCCGAGCAATGTTCTGATTCTGCCTGCAGGGTCCATTGTGCCTCCTCTGCCCCCCGGTAGTATTGTACAGATTCAGCAGGTACCATCCCCAGTTCGGTCAACGTCGGCTTCAGGTCAGCCAAAGTCCCAGACAACATTGGCCATGACGAGAGCAGTTACTGCTCCTGGAAAGGGCACTGGCCCCAAAATAACAGGCATCCCATCTGGAGGAGTTATACAAATCCAAAGGACCACTGGGACTACAGTGGCCAAGGTTTCGGGGATACAGAGTCCCCCTCAGACAGCTGGAATATCTATTCTTCCAGAACAGAAGGGCCAGCTGGCAAAAACTCCATCTGGTGGTGTTGTTTTTGTGCAACGCACACCTGCAGGTGGTAAGATCAGTTCAGGACAGACCCTTACAAGACTTCCCATTGTTCAGGGAGGTTTAGCTCTAAAGCAGAACATAACTCTGGCAGCACAGCTCCCACCTGGGGCAGTCCCTATTCCACAGCAGGGACAGTTGTCTCTGAAACCTGGCAGCTCTGTCAACATCATTCAGAGTCCAGCACCAAAATCTCTTCACCAGGGGCAAACACTGGTCTTACACGCTCAGCCCTCTGTTCCCAAGGTCACAGGAAAACCCCTGCAGACAGTGACAGCTATTCGACAGCCACTAGTTGCAGGGGGTCAGACTTCAAAATTTATCATTCAGGGTCAGGGTTCAAAGATTGTTGCTCCAGGTCAACTCCAGGTCAGACTGTCTGCACCTGCAACAAGTGTAATTCCAGCACGCACAATAGCTGCAAGCTCTGCTAGTTCAATAGCTGCAGGGCCCAAAGCTGTTGTGACAGCACAAGTTTCAGGGGATGGCAAGGGACAGGATGCAGAAGTCCCAGCAGCACAACATACATCGGCAGCTGCAACATCTGATGCTGGGGTAACAAAGACAGAAGGATCACGAGCTGTCACTGGTCACGGAGCTGAAGGAGAAAATGACTCAAGCAGCAGCTCAGGAGTTAAAGAGCAGAATGAAACTCAAAGTGTATCAACTGAGACTAGCCAGAAGGAAATTGCACTTGTTAAAGACAAGACCAAGGAAGCTTTACCCCAGCATGCAATTACCTCTGAAATTGTCGAGGCCGCAAGAGCAAGTATATCTGCAGGTGTAGGTGAAGCCCATGTGGCCCACTCTGCAAAATGTGTACCAACAAAGGCAGCTCAACCTGCTCTGGCCCAGTCTCTCTCAAGAATTATCATCAAGCAGGAGCCAGTCACCAGCCCTCAGAAGGACTACCCACCAACATCTACCATGCAGCACATTGTGAATCCCACTTCTGCCAACGCTACCGCAACCACAGGTGACTTTCAAGTGAAAATGGAAGTCGAGGAGAAAGAGGATGAGTCAGAGGTGTCGGTCATGATCAATGAGCTGACAATGAGCTGTGCGGAGGGCCCAGTGGGTGTCTACGGCCTGCGGACAATGGAGGAGTTGATTACAGCTGCAGTGAAAAAAACGCCTTTGATCAACAAAGATAGGAGTAAGGAATATATCTGTAATGTACATGTAAACTCTATTTGTCTTCCAGTCACTGTTTATTTTTTGTCTCAATTTGCTTCAATTTCAACAAAACTTGATGAATTCTTTATGTGTAGTATTATGTAATGATCCGCAGTTCCAAGCGAGCACCCATTTGCAGCAAAATTTGTGGAGCAGTACCATTCGTGGTCTGGGGCCAAACGGCGGGCCGCAGAATGGCACCGTGCCGTCATGGTCAGGCGGATTGCAAGCGAAGCACGGGAGAAATCTGAGAGGCTGCGATTTGAGAGAATGTGGACAACAAAGGAAGTGATGGTGTGGTGCAGACAGCGGGGATATACTCCACCAGAGCCTGGTAAGGGGAGAGATAGGGTATAAGATTTATGGCTCCAAGATGGAAAGAGTCTAAATTGTGAATAGGTTTCAGAGTGGTCTCAGTAGTTCATTCACAGACTGCTAAAGGGCTAGTTTCTCCAGAAGCTTTATGACCCAAGGAAAAAGTTTCGTGGGAGTTACATTCAGTCTGAATGGAGGTCATATTAGGCTTCCAAAATGGATTAAAGTCAGTGTCGGAGTAGAGTCAATCCCAAGTCCTTTCGCAAGTCTGTTCACAAGACCAGTCTGAAGTAACGGGGTTAATAGTGACAAAAGGATGTTTTTGTCACAGTTCGTTTGAATAGCCTGTGAATTGGTTTAGACAGAATGACTTGTGATGGACTTGTGATGGGCAGGGACTTGAAGGGATTTCTGATCGAGTTGAACACAACACTGGTTTTTCCTTTTTTTTTCAATTTACAAGTTAACCAATCTATCCATCCTGTTTACTTCATAGGTGCCCACAACGTTGAAGACTCCTGGTGCAACATATGTGGGGACTTGAGCAAGAAGGGGAAGACAGTTCAAGTGGTGGTTGATGGGCATGACTGCAGGAATGATTGGCTATCATCGGCCGGTAAGAAAAAAGAGATTGCCTCGGAGAAGGAATTGGTTTGCATTCGGTCAATTTTTTATTTAGTTTCTGCTGAATTTGTGCCAAGGAAATGTTGAAACAACTTCACAAAAATTACCATTTACATTATCGCCACATGTCAGTTTGATATTTTTCCAGCCATAAACTGTAGCAGCAGTGAATTACTCGGACACAATTTTTGCTCCATTTTTATACAGTCAAACCTCATTAACAAGAGGTCTTGCAGATTACATTGTTATAACAGGTACCTTGTATCAGGGAATTAGCTAGAGTCCTATTCAGGCCGTGATAGCATGGCCAGTTTTGAAAAAATACAGGCAGAATTTTCAAGCATGGCTTGTATTTTCAAATCAAAGCCATGCTAAAAAGTACCAAAATGTGCTTTAGTTAAATGATATTCCATATGCATAATTTGATTTAAATGTATTATTCTCTGAAAAGAAAAAGTTGATCCATGGTTGGTCAAACTTCATTGTTTTTGAGTTCTCTTTTAAGGACGTGCAGACATCCAAGCGGTAGCGTGCTTGCACGTGCAAGTGCTTCAATTATACATGTAGCGTGGTATACGATTTGTTTTATATAGGATCGTATCTGCACATGCACAACCAAAAGGGAAACCAGTCCGTGTTTGTCTCTCACATCACTGATAATACTGGTTCCTATTGCCAAAAATGGTGCAAGGGACATGGGTGCGCTGGGAACCAGTGATTCTTCCGATGACGGAACTTTTTGACAATATGCAGTTGCTGTTAAGTTTGAGATGATAAAACTTTGGGAGAGATTTCTCATTTTCTTCCCTGTATGTGTTCTTCCACTTTTGTACCTTTGTTCCTATGTCACTGCTCGTATTTTTTTTCACGATCATGTGAAGTGCTTTTTCCGCCCGACCATTGCCGGGCTAATGCTGCATGCTCGTGGTCCACGTAGGCACCTTGAGCGATAAAGCCAACAATCATGTATCACTGCACTAATGTATTAAGCATGCCATGCAATAAAAAATATGAATGCTGTTATTAAAATAAAATGTTCAAAATGGTGGGAGACCAGAGCGAGGCACTAGCGATGTTGTAAATGTCCATGTTGTAACATGGTGCGGCATACATATATACCGGGTACATACACAGGTGTACACTTTTTAACCTACCCTATTTGCTGGTCCACACAACTCGAGCTCATGTTTGAAAAATTTTCACAGCAACAAACTGCATTCCTGAACAGCTTCGGCCACCGATCATGGAGCATGGAGACAACCTGATATGGAAGCATGCAAATCGAACGCAGTGTCATTTATCTTCAGAACTCAACTATAACAAGCTAAAAAAGGGCCAAGATGCAAATTCTGAATGTAGATTGTGTCATTTGGAGAAAACAGAGCCTAACGAGGGAAACCCTTGCCATGTGTTCGTTGTGGCTACAAACAATGGCTACATGCATTGTTTGGCATGCACAAGGTTCAACTGTACTTATCTTCAGTATATGAAAATTATTTGACATCCCATTTAAGTTAGATGCACTTGAAAGTGACGTTTTTAGAACATTAAAAACCGCCCATCCTTTCCTGGACAACTGAAGGCACTGTTACTGTGATGTCATCACGAGAGAAGACATGATTCAGTGCCTAGGTTTTCTCTGTTCAGATTGTGAACCCAGAATTTACTCACTGAAAACATATCTGAGAAAGGGTTGCATATTTGCTCATTGTTTTATACTTACACAACAATGAATCAACAAGGAAAAGTTCCTTTTTTTTTTTTTTGCGTTGGGGAGATGTTAATTTATATAACGGGTTTTGCCCTTACCCAACGTATATATTAATAAACACTGTATAATCAGTGCTTGACTTTTTTCGCAAGCTCTCGGACAAGCACTGAGCGGACAAGCACCGTTATATAAAGGAAAAGCTCCTTTTTTTTCTATGTTTAAACCAATGCAATATATTCAGGTTCTCATAGGATGACATCACAGTTTTTGCTCATGAACATGGAAATACTCAATGAAAACAAACAAAAAAGCAGCAAACTACCCTTTAAAATAGACACAAAATGAAAATGAGAATAACTGGGACACACAGGTGGATTTTGGAGGGTTGGAAACAAAATCTTTTTAATTGCATTTCAGCTACACTTTAAAGAGCATAAATTTATGGACCATATGTATGTCAGCAGCATTGCAACTCGTGTGGAAGATTTTGCCAAACATTTAATGAATAAAAAGCTGTAATGAATAAACAGAGGTATCTCTACCTTGCAGATAACAGCCATTCTGAAGAAATTGAGCCTGGATGTGGCTTTTTAACCATTTTTTTTCAGGGCTTTTAAAACCAGTATCCTACACAAGTCCAGACGAGATGACCAACAGCCTAGGGATACAACAGGCAGCTGTGGACCAGAGTTTCTCAGACAGCGAAACAGAGGTGGATATCATCAGGATGTGGAACCCTGGACATCGCAAGCAGATCAAGAAAGAAACAGCTGACGGCGCTGATAGGATACGGTGTTATCTGCCGCTCAGTGATGGAGCCAAGATGACTCAAGGAATTGCCCAAGAGGTACATGTATTAAACCCTTCACAGCGGGATTATTTTGCCCGGCAACTGCTGGGCAGTGNGTATGTGTGGTATGCACTAATCTCACCAACAGTGCGGTAGTAGCAGTCCTCCGTAGCAAAGGGGTTAAGGAGGTTTTTTTTTACATCGAGTGTTTTTTATTTGTTTGTGTATGTATGTTTGTGACCAGCTTTGAAAAAATGGGTATTATGGGACTTATTTTTCAAAATATACACATTTGAATCGGTTACACTATAAGCTTTAATTTGGTGTAGGTTTGAACCCTGTGGCATTTTGCAATCCGGAGATATATTGATTTTTGCATAATCATATCATACACATTGACAGAATTGCTTTCAGAGATAAAGCCCTGTAAACACAGGAAGAGGAAAAAGAAATCAGCCAAGAAGAAAGTCTCTTAATACCCATAGCATTAGTTTGGTTTGTTTCTTGTGTGAATTGTTAAAGTACTGATATAATAAAAGCCAATAAACCAAGAAGTAAAAAATCAGCCTGTCCACATAAAAAGCCCTTAGTGTGAAATAGCACAGTGTCCCTTAAAACCCTTTTTCGCAGATTGGGTCACATTTATCATGTATATTTTCTAACATTATTTGGCAAAATTAGCAAACTTACTGCAAACATGGACAGTTTGTATGGCATTACATTATTTATGTTAGTTACACAAAAAGGATTGGTGGTCAGCTTTGAGTATTGCTGTAATTTGACTAATGCATGCATATAGGTCCTTTGCAGATGTTTTCTTTTCTCCCACAATCCTTTGCAGTCTGCCATTTTTGTCTGGTCATGACTGAATTGGGATATTTTGTGGCAATGCATTATTATGTCTGTCATGATCAGTGAAATTCAAATTGTTTTTTGCACTTTTCTGAGTTATGTGAGAAAGAAAGAAAAAAAGAAAATCTGGAAGTTTATTCCACATCATTCAGAATGTTCCTGCTGACTGAATCACCTGAACATTCCACATTGCTTTCTGCCAAACATTCTGTCGTTTTCTTAGAAATCACAAGTTTCATTGGCAGACATAATAATGTGAAAACATATATCTTTGCTTCCTGTGTCTTAATTCCTTAGATTGGAATCTCCTTTAAGCCAACTCAACTTGCTCCAGACACCTTCTCACCTGTTGTGGAGGAGGTCGTGTTCTGTGTAAGTTGAGTCTTTCCTCAGATTACTTGTAAATTTTTGTTACAAGGAATAATTTTCAGTGAAACCACATTTTTCCCATGCAGCTTACATTTACCTAGACCAGTCCAGTCGATGGAGTCTTATGACATCAAAGAAGACCTTTTTTATGATACAGTCTGATGATAGATTTTACTTGTTTAATGCATGTATTTGCCTTTTTTTTTTCACTCCTTATCTTGTCTGTGTTCCAGGCTGTTTCACAGTTCTTGGGCACTCTTGTCCGAGAATCCTTAGCCAAGGCCTATAACAAACGTACAGATAACAGGTATGTCCAAAGAGCAAACTCCACTTAGATTTGTAATTCACAATGTTGTGTCTGGAGTGGCTTTTGATGTCTTCGAACCTAACATAGGCTGTGTCAGAAACGGACTTCCAGAGCTACGGCTGGGTCTATTGTCTACGCGTCTCCACACATTTCCAATGGAGCGAAGACCTAGACTGAGCTCTAGACAAGAGATTCGGATGCAGCTATAGAGTGTATAATTACCTCCTTGTTCATATGGCTTCATGCTCTCACTTTGCCATCCAACAAGGATCGCACAGTAAACCTCACTTCACATTCAAATCATACTTCAACAACCATTTACTGTTTCTTGTGGGATGGGAGAAGTCATTTGATTCCCAGCTGAATATCAGATTATATATTCAGAGAACAAGTGCATGACAGCGTAATCACAGTGTGCCCAAAAAATGCTAGTAATGTATCATGCTCAGTGTCCCATTCTGAGTTTAAAGGCTTCAAGGGCATTATAACAACTGATATTTTGCTATGCCGTGACAATTATATAAAGGTGTTTATTTCGGATGCACTGTGAGACATTGGGGGCAGGGCAAATTTTCCCTTGAGATGTATTTTTGGCCAGAAATATTCAGCAATTTTTTCTTGTCCATTTGTCAACTCTGTACACCTTTTGCATCCAGACTTCCGAAGGAGATCCTTCCCACTCACGTCCTCCAGGCTATTGACTGCATTGAATCGTTTGACTTCCTTAGCAACAAGCACCTGGGGGTCCTTGCCATGCCAACCGAGGACAACCAAGAAAGCCCATCTTAGACCACAGATGGCAACACAGTAAAACTTATCTCCCAAGGTGATCATCAGTTGAGGCGAAGGCAAGGAAAAAACAGCATAGTCCATGAAGCAGAAAGTTCGGCCAATATTTGTTGTACAACACCCCAACCAAAGATTATGCATTCATGAGAGACCTGATTGTTCAACTGCCAAACACACTGTAACCCTAACTGCTATAATATCCTTATTGGAATTTATTGCTTAAAAAAAAAGAAATTGGTTGAGAAGATTGAATGAAATTTGAATATACATATATTGGGGAAAAAAATATTTTGAAAATAAAATCGTCTGGAATGCAGTATATTTCACCAATAAAGTTCTTTTCTTTTCTTCAGAAGGCCCTAAGCCTATTTTTGACAAATATCATGACTGCAATGAGGACCTTGTAGCATTGAGTCGACGGTTTGACAAGTGGCTTGCCTGACCATTGTGGCAAGATCCATTGGGTCAATTCCCCGCAAGGTCAAACAGCCTGGGAGTCTGTGGTTGCCGGTCACCACAAGATCCAACAGTGGCCTTGGTCAGTGGGACTAGCTCCCATCCTCTCAACATGGCCAGTTTGTTCGGCTGCTGTCGATAGCCAAATGCATCAATGTGCATCAGACCTTTTCACCTGAGCACTGTGCTGTCTTAGGCAGGGTTAGGGTTAAAGATGACTGGACTTATGTATCATGTGTATTAATTTGAGATAAGTTGAAGAGCACTTCCTCTTCAGCAAACTTCCCTGACAAAAGAACACATCCAAGTACATTGTATGGAGCATTTTGTGGCACTCATTAAACATGGTGAGTGTGTTGCAATGACCTAGGATGTCCGGTGACTGTGGATATAGGACATTGGTTGTGATGGATGTGTGAGGAATACTTTTTGAAAGTGGAGTAATGGTTGTCGGCTAGTGTTAGAGAAACCATCACACCAGCAACACCTGTATAAAATGGTGTGCAGGTACTTGTATTGTCAGCCAAACTGCAGTATCTGGCCACGTATGTAAGGACCTTCATTTAGGCATGATGTTTAACCCTGAAGAAACATTGCCGATATCGTTTTTATATTGGTAATTTTTTTCTCAACCTAGTTTTCGGGGAAAAAAATCTCTATGATCCTTTTTGTTTTCCCTGAAAACTGCACTGATTTCCATGAACTGAGCAAAACTAACCTGCAACAATTATGCAAATTGTGAAAAGTGTGGTGCTCTAATTACACAAAGATTCAAAAAGCATTAACCCTAACACTCCCAAATCCTCCAATTTTAGTACGATTTTACATACACCCTTGGGGGTTAGGGTTAATGCCAAGCAGTTAACTGACCCCGACAAGGATCATATGCAAAGTAAAATAATATGTCACTGGTACCATTATCTTTGTCCATGGTCCAGCTTTTGACAGAAACAACATGGGAGCCAGTGATTTTCCTGAGTGGTGTAACATGCCCAGACTCCAGCTTTGCTGTGTACATGGACATGTCTACATATGCTTTCATTCATACATACCTACCTTGCTATCTACAGAGTGTGTACAGTAATGTGCGCACAATATTGCTGGTTTTGCATCTTTTCCAAGCCATATTGTAAATGCATATAGATATTTTCACAGTCTCGGGAATTTTTTAATGTGGCACAGTGTTTTTTATTTTATTGCCATATTAGTGATGTTGGGAAAATTATCAACCATGAAAAAAAAAATCAGTATCGCCACATCGTTACTCGTACTCAACATGTATGATTGTAGGCGTCTGCGGCTTAAAGCTCTGGAGAAAAAAATGATGTCCGACAAGTTATGTATGTAGGATTTTGACACATTTTGCTAGAAAAGAGAAATGTTTCCCATGTGCTTGCATTCAAAACAGACAAAAAGCGTTGTCAAGGTTAGTCTTGGTTCCAAGACTTCTTTAGCAGTGCATCATGCTTGGCAGTCTTGACTTGGACGTACAGGGTACCTGGTTCAGTGACTTCGTGTGCTGAAACATCAAACCACTAAGGTCTTCCAACCAAGATTGTGTGAACATTTCCTGGCATAAAATAACACCTTGGGTGCAAGTAGTGTGTACTGTGTTGTTACAGCTACTACATTTTAGCATTTAAATACTTAAGGGGGGTTATCTCTTTATATCGACACTGAATTTTAATATTGCAAGACATATTTAATTACTGTGTGGCAAAGGCAGATTTATGTCAATTTTGTCAATTCATGGTTAGTTACTGAAGTATTGGCATGCCAAAATGCATATAAATTTAAAGTGCTCAGACTGACGCTTTCTTTATTAATCTAATGGTAATTGGAGGTTGAAGCAAGATGATGGAAAAAAGGGGGATATGGGACTTGTTTGTTCCTCTGAAATCCCGAAGTATTGTTGGCACAATGCAACTCAGGGGTGTTTTTAGAGAAATCTTACCTAGGCTTAACTTGAAACTATGATTTGCTAGGTTGGATTGTAATTGGTGAAGCGACTTCCTCAATGGATTTAAATGGGTTTAACAGATTTCAATAATCATTTGGCAGTGTTTGATGAAATGAATACATGTACATGTATTTGGCAATTTTGTTTTTCTGAATTGCTGCTTTGAATTTAACAGCAGTTTCAAATGTACAGAGTTACTCTACATCTCAATTGTATCATTGTTAATGCAGTACAATAAATTGCATACATCATTATCAATGGAACCTCTCTTTGTAAACAATTGCCAGTTTAGGACCAGCCAATCAAACTTGGTCAAATGATGAACTCTAGACTGTTATCCCAACCCAAACCACTTCTGATCTTCCCAATTTCACTGGGGCTAATTTCATGAAACGCTAAGACACTTTGCAACAACTCCTATGACAAGCACATCAAATTTGGAGTCATACTCAATGCATGTAACTTAACATGTCATAAATCTTTGAGATCAAAGTTTATGCTAAAATGAAATTAATGTAAAACTTTCAGACAAATAGAGGGGTACATTATGTTAGTGCCCTTAAAGCTTCCTGTACTGCTGTCATAAAGCACATTAACTTACTAGAGTCCTAACTCTTCTGGGTGCAGGCATTTTGAATTCATGCATGTGTTTGTAGAACACAATGAAGTAAGATGGCATGAATGCTTTTTGCTGAATAATGTAAAATAATGCATTTTAACATTAGGATGACACATTATACGGCCTCAGAAACTTCATCTGCAGCGCGTATTCACAGGCATGTACATTGTTTAAAACAAATCCCTCACTGATTGCGCATTTAGTCCTTTGGTGTTCCCGCATTGTTTTCACATTTTAAAACCCAAATGTACATATGCAAGTAGCCATACAAAAGCTGTTCCAAATTTCAAGTTTTCCATGGTTGGGTACAAACATGAATGCACCCAGCAAGTGTCTGTCGCTTTGTACCGCGAGTTTGTGCGCTAGTAATTTATATATCGCTCTATGACTGCTGATTACTTTTGCTCAAATATTTACTGATGCATTCTGTCTCCTTACTGTTCATGTTTGACCTCAAGGTATCACAGCCGATGCAGGTACCCTCCAAATATTCAGGGGCTTTTTCCTTGTCAGCCAATGTCTTTACTGAGCATGCCAAATACTTTCCTGACATTGACATGTGGATTGCCCCTGGTGTACATGCGGGCTCTCTCCTGCACCTGCTCCATCTTCAGGTCAGTCTCCAGGAGCCTGGTGAAGGAGGGATTATCCAAGGGCGAGTCCAGATACAGGGTCTGCTGAGGCACGCTGCTCAGCAAGGAGAGGAGAAGGACCTGAGCCAGGGCAGTGTTTTCTGCCAGCAACGGGCCGATGCGGTGACTGGAAGCCCTCTGAAGAGGACGAATGACACCATAGCCAACTACACGATTGTCTAGAATGGTGTGTAGGGAATAACAAAAGATAAAGGAAATACGTACAAAAAGTGTTGAGAGTAAAACAAGTCTAAATAAAAGTATGTCCAACAGGCAGTGATATAAGCATGATCATGCACTTCAAAATCAGATCCCATGCCCTCTAAGGAGCATTGCCCGAGGAGTAAAAAAAGTTGTCAGATGCAGAAGGGGCAGTGGTCTCCCAACTGGAGGCATGCCTCTCCACTCCTCACCCCCCCAATTTGAGCAGATCCTCCAATGTGGCAGGGCTTAATGAATTCATCTGTTCACCCTAATCCCATTTTGGCTTTCTCTAGGCCCCCCCCCGGCTGAATCCAACAGAATACAATAACAATGTGTGAAGCCTGCTGAACAGCTAAAACAGAAGGGTCCACTGCTTAGTGCTCACATCAGCGAAATCCCACAGAAAGAACCCACTGCTGGATATTGTTGGATTCACTGTAGTTAAGGTCAATGGCTGATGCCTGATGGTCTTACCATAGAGGAAGGACACAGAAGGAGTTAGAACTGCCTGGGCTATAACATCTGGCCAATTACCGCTTTCTGGCATGCCTGGTGTGTCCACAGCCAGAGCGCAGCGAACACTTGCTACGTACCATCCGTTTCATAATCACTAAACCCCTTTGTACCCTATGATTGCCGCCGCAATTTGTCGATGGTAATCTGCATCCTTAAAACTTCATGTACTGAGGTATGAGAAATTGAATATTCATGCCTTTGTTGGTGTTTGGTATGTTCTCATGACAACATCATATTTAATGCTTGTGCAGTTGCTTGCATTACGCTGTGTGCCCTAAATCTATATGAGCAGTTATTGCCCTTAATGAACTCTTCTTTCTGGAGTTAGTTTGGGAATAAATAGCCCAGATGTTTACAAGATGTTGTGCATTGTTTGAATAATTTGTATTATGGCGTGTGCACAAAAGGGTATTTTTTACGAGATTTCATGATCACTCTCTGTGATGAAATAGCACATTTTGTTCATTATGAACGTAACTTTCCAGTATTAGTCAACATTTTGTTCGCCAGTCTTAGCCAAATCGTACCAAGTCTTTGAACACTGGTGTATTGGACAGTGGAGAATAAAATTACAAACTCTGCATAGATAATGGAACAGTGTATCAAAATTTAAAAAGTTAATTTACGATGGCAAAAGTAGGTCTAATGTCAGGAATTTTTGTCTCTCTATTCCCAGGTCACATCGATAATTTGTATTTAATTGCCAGCAAAAAACTACAAGTATTGCTAGGATATTACTGGCCCTGCTTGTTCTGCTATGATGCAGGCAGTAATCAGGCATTTTTGGAATGTTTTCTATTATTCGTCTGACTCGGCGGTGACCATCATTGAACAGTTTGAAGTGCTTGAGTTGCAACTCCTCCTGCGTCCTTCCTCTATGGTCTTACAACATGTACAACTGGTCCTCAACTCGGCAAAATCATTCTGCTGCCATTGCAAAATAAATGGTCAGGGCCTTCCAGGTGTAGCAGGTGTGACAGATCTACAGATCTGTGAGATCTCATTGCATTTGGCACTCAGAAGCAGCATTATCCACCAATGGCAAACGTCATTGGTGGATTCTTTAGTGGTTGGAAATTTCACACTCTGAGACTGTCATTTGACTTTGGGATACGTTCAGTTGACTTGCTCATCTGGTTACACTGAGCAGGCTTCTCATTGTGGTAAAAGTTTGGTCTGTGTTCAGCAAGGTTTTTATCAAAAATACCCCAGAGAGTTGGGGTTCATATGAAGAATGAAGAAAGTTTTTCTTGTTTTTTCTTTCGTGGGGTATTTGTTCATTACTTTAAACCCACCCTCTAGGACAGCCTGGGCAGCTCTTGGGTTGTCAGTCCTCAGCCACTTGAGCAGAAATTTGACCCGTGGCTCACCACAGACATCTGTGTCAAAATCCACCACCCGGCCAAACCCCATCTCAGCAACTGATCTCAGGAGTCTATTGCTTTGAACTTCAGGTAGAAGAGGAATTCCAGAGCCCTGTAGATAAATTAAGGGATCAGAGTTTAAAAGAACCTGAGGGAAAGATTTGGAAAATGATCTAAAAATGAAGCAAAGCTTTCAGATCACATGCAGGATTGCCAAGTTTAAAATTTCAAAGGGTGCAGGCCTTTTCACAGATGCACTTTTTGTGCAGCTTTATACTTCTATATGGGAAAAAAATTGACATCCTTTCAGGGTGAACTGTATTAAAAAGAACACGTTTTAAATTTTAAAAAATTGACATCCTTTCAGGGTGAACTGTATTGAAAAGAACACTTTTTAAATTTTAAAAGTTTCCATGCTTATTCCTGGACAACAGAGGGCGCTGTTGCTGTGATTTCACTAAGGGAAGACACTGCTTACTTCACAGATTTTTCGATGCCAATTGTAACCCAGATTTGTTCACTAAATCTCTGAATAAGAGTTGCTCCTTGGAACAGCCAATATAAATGCAGTTTTTGTGCATAAATCAATGCATCAATGAGGTTGTCTCCCATAAATGACATCAGAGATCAACTCATGAATAAGGAAATCCAAATTAGCAAAAACCTCAAAAGGTACCCAAATGCCTTTCAAAATAGTAAAACCAAAATTTTAGAAATGAGGTTGATTAAACACAAAGAAACAGTTTCAAGGATTGTTGTAAAAAATGCATTGCACGGGCTCTTTAAATAGTTGAAATATTCTGTATGTGCTATTAAAAGAACCGTAAAAAAGCACAAATTGGTTCGTTGAAAGTGACTATGTACACAGGCGTCCATGGAAGAAAAGAAAAATGTGCGTTTAAATTAATGTTACCAACTTTAAAGCAGCCATTTCTCCATTCCTCTTTGAAGCCCAGTTCCATGTACTTCTCAACATCCTGCATGGCAACCTCTATACCAATGTTCCTGTCTCCAAGGTAACCCACGGCCACATCCCAAAGTCTCGCTCCTTCCTCCAGGAAACTGTCTCTGACATGATGGAATCCAATAAACCCCAACTTGTCACTCAGGCGCAAGGCTGCAACGGTACCAACCACGTCCCCATCATCCGCGGTGGCAAGGAAGAATCCGTTGGGATCCGTGTCATACATCAACCGCAGCTCTTCATTTCTCAATCTGCTGCCCTCTACTGGCTGACTGTTGGAGAGAACAGACACTTCCCGCGGATGTAGCTGGCGGATCTTGCAACGTCCTGGAGGTCTTGGGTTGTGGAGGATGGTTTCTCCTTCTACGGATGGCAACTTTGAACCAGGGTTACTGGAACATGGTCTCCTGATGCTTACTCTGCTTGTCGTTATGCACTTTTGCAGCATGCGAAGCTTCCGAAGGGAAGTAGCCATTTTCTTTCTTGGTGTTTAGCTGTTCCACATTGACTTCTAATCATAAAATGTGAGAAAGCCAAATATTCAGAAAATCCATCCCCAGTACTTTGTAGCTAAGGAGTGTGCATGACAGTTCTGCAAAAATTTTAGGTTTTTGCAACTTCAACATCCTCTCAAAAATAACTCCTTAATTCCTCAGTCAGTAAAGATGACTTTTCTAGAGGGCTCCAAACTTAAAACTATAACATGTATAAGTATTTCCACATTAGGCAAACATATCCCCCAAGTCGTGCCACCTGACTAGTATTTTATAAAGGCCATCTTTTCATAAAGTTGTGGAAGTAAGCCAGCTGCAATTTTAACTTTCAGCTTCAAATTGAAATCACTGAGCTCGACCCTCTAGTGGTAAAGGTTAAATAAGGCCTCATTTAACCTAAAACCCCTAAACCTGACTGATTTTTTTTCAGTTAAATGAGAGTATAAGTTGGTTTAGTAAAGCTTGTTTGCATGTTTTCAATTTTTGAGATTGGCTTCCTTGAGTGCAGCTGGTCTGAGTCATTTACCCCCAGAACTGTGGGGTTCATCTTCCGCCTCAGGCAACACACCCACCACAGTTCTGGGGGTACGAGAACCCCACAGATCACTTCTTTTAAGGGAAAGAGTTCCCTGTCCAGACATTGTTTAATACCTTATGCACAAACCCTTCGAGACTGGTCTGAAAAATTCTAACGTTAATTGTTTTCTAAGTAAATTCTTCAGTATTTTCCCTGCTAAATTTGACCTTTTGGGACATTTTTTTACACTTTCTGTGAGCTAATGAACTACCGAAAGGGAAAAGAGTGATGCCCATACATGAAACTGGTAACTTCTTACATTTGAATCTCACCTGACCAGGTCCTAATGTTAACTGGGGCAATTTGTCGGGTCCTACTGGTAATTACTCGGACTACATGTAGGCCTATCTTCCAGCAGCTAGCTGTCGAGCTAAAGAACAAAGTTCCTAGTATGCATGTACCTAGTAGGCCTATGACGTATTGCTAGGTACATGCTGTATGCGCCCCTGTTAAACCCTCCTTTTGCTGTCACAGCCAGTCAAAAATTCCTTCTACTTCACCCTCTATAGTACATGTACATAGACATATCATATGTCATTTGACTCATGTGACCATAGGACAACTTGGTGCAGATTGCATCTTTGCATAGGAGGGTTAATAATCAAAGAAGTCAATTCCTCCCTGAGAACATGGTGAGTGCACACCCAGCCCTAGCCCCAGACTGGGGACCCGTCTACTGGACTACCTCCATATCCTTTGCCCCACAACGGACCACCCAAAAAGTGGAGACTCTGCGAAAACACCTCCTATGAATCCCATTTCCCACGTATGGCTCATTCACCCTATCTAACCATTGATGTATTAATATGGGCGATTTCCAGTTTGTGGAAGCCTGTGAAATTTTGGTTTCAATTTGGTCATCTTCACATTGGCCAATACTACAGCAATTAACTCCAACCTCGACTCCATGGGCTGCGTGTGCGTTCCTTCACTAGCCCCTGATCATGTAGAATAAAATAGAAATAGAACAGAATAGAAAATGAAGCTGACTGGCTATTCTATGGAATTCCATATCTGCCGTTGCCCGTCGCCCGTCATGCATTGCCCGTCGTGCATCACCCGTAGTCCGTCGTGCATCGTCCGTCGCCCATCGCTCGTTTTTTTGGTCATGCTTGCGCAGCGCTATTTTTCACTTTGACCCTTGATCTTTTCACATACTTATTTGACTGATCCACCATGCCTGTCTGACCTTACACGATATTCCAACAGACTGCATCCCCGGAAATACAAGAGTAACTTTGAACTGAATGTATATAATAAATGACTTACAATGTTTGATTCCTTAATATCTTTTATAAGAGACGAACTGATTCAACATTATTTTGAGGGCGGGTATACCTTTGATGAAATCTGCTGTATACCCCAAATTAGACATGACTTCAGTTGCACGTAGGCACAGAGAAGTCTTTCAAACAGTAATGTTACTTTGTTAGCCTTATAAATACATGTAGTGCTGATATGCTGGACTATCTGTGCTCATTGGTCTATCCACCATGGCATACACACCAACAAAAACCAACACGCCATATTTTCTGAAAATTAAACCAAGAGATAATTCCCCCCCAACATTCAATAAACAGTTACTTATCCATAGCATAATTCACAAAAAGGATTTCAAGGTGAAATTGAGAGGAAAAAATAGAATGTCCGTCTGTGCTGGCAGATTTCTCTCTAGAATTTCATGAAAACAAGTTAGCACATTTTTACAGTAGGCAAGAGTGAATTGCACTGCGAATAAGTTGGCCTAAACATTTTTGGCAGAAAAAATTTTTCCCTAAAAAACACTTAGTCATATTCTCAGAAAGGCGACGGACGATGGGCGACGGACGATGGGCGACAGACGACAGGCAACGCATGACGCACGATGCATGATGGGCGACACGAAGGATGAGAATGGCATATATGGAACTGGAGAATAGCATAATTGGGACACAACAAAAAGCAAGAGGCGACGGGCGACGCACGAAGGACGGTGGGTGACAGGCGACGGCAGATATAGAATTCCATACTATTCAGGACGAATATATACATAATAAAAGTAAAGTAAATCGTGCATGTACCGGTATTTCAAAAGCTGCACGCTCACGCCCATGAATCCTCTTTCACATCACGCACATGTAAATCTAAGTCGCACGTAAACACACTGATTCAAGTACTAATTAAAATATATCCCAAATAGTAGGATATTCAAATTATACAATACAAGGTCTTAGATTGCACAAGGCATGGTGGGATCCAACATGGCACGGCAAGATTGTGCCCATGGGAACAAGGTTGCGGTTAACTCTCAATCATTTGACCGATGCTAAACACAGTCAGGATCTGTTTGGTCTGGGAACCAGACACTCTTATTACATAGGCACCAAATTCGCTTGTCCAATCACCATCCCGCACACTGATCACACATCACCCATGAAAATACCCAAAGGCTGTTGTTTTCGATACATTCATTGCTTTCATGCGTACAAACACAAGGCTTCATTACGAATGATATAAAGTTGCTGATAAAACAGCGGTAGGATCACCGTCATTAATGCTGTCTGATTCCCAGACAAAACAGATCCCGACTGTGTTTGGCATCGGTCAAATGATCGGGAGTTAATCGCTGTAGCCCCTAGTAAACAAATGGCCAATGCATGTGAAGATGACCAAATTGAAACCAAAATTTCACAGACTTCTACGTGCGAAATCACCCATATTAACCCTAACAGTTCCAAACCTCAGTATGCTTTTGCATACACCCTAGAGGTTTCAAGGGTTAGGGTTAATATTATAGTACATCAATGGTCAGATGGCGTGATGAATGAGCCATACACGCATATGGAATTCACAGAAGGCGTTTTTGTGGAGTCTCCACTCTTTGGGTGGACTGTTCCGACAGGGGCCAAGGATACAGAGATGGTCCAGCCATGGAGGTACCTCCATGGTCCATGGCATTGCCAGGGTCCCCCCCCCCCCTCCCAATCGCACTGTGGTAGTCAACATTGCCACTGGTTAGGCCGCGCCTATCCCTTCTTAAATTTCCATAAAGTCAACGGACACCGAGAAAACCTTTGGGCCCTTTTATATGTATCCCTATATAGGCCTATTTACCATAAAAGCCGGTGCAGCGATGGCGATGTTGAAGGTCTAGTTTGGTCCGTAAAATCATGCTCCAGCCCCCCTGCCAAGCTACTGCGGACCATATTCAAATAAATGTGCACGACACGTGAGGTTAAATCACGTTGCCGATTATTCACTTGGCCCATTTACGACTTGTACCATTCACCTTTTCGCCTGTTTACCACTTTACCTATTTGCCACATCACATCCGTGTTAAGTCCAGCTAGGCCTAGGCCCCAAATCCGTTAGTCGCCCCGCCCGGATCTTTTTTTTAAGTTTTTTTTTCCTAAAAAAAATAAATATTGCATGCATTTAACCGGGCGCCTTAGTCAATTACAGAGAACAATGTTAATATGAATATTGGACTTAACTTTCTAGTAGTAGTCAAACATTTTAAACTGAAAAGCTGGCGGCCATCATTCTGAATTTAGATACTTAGCCGTCATCTTGAAAAACAATAAAAGAAATGAAAAGGCCCTCATCCTCCTCACGTGCGATGTAAGAGTCGTCAAATTACTGTGCGCGAGTTCATTAATATTTTTGCCACTCAAGGGTTATTTACAGAAAGAGGTGCCGGTGCCTTATCAGGAGACATTGTAGAAAGTTTTCCAAAACATTCAAACATGTCGGGCTTGTCTATTCTAACTTACATGTAGACCCTACCTGTAGGATTTCGGTCATTAAAAACACCCAACTTGGCGCCGCGGACTTGTTTTGCATGGAGGTGGGAGATTGTGCCGCATTCAAAAACGATCATTTTTCTCTGTCCTTCATTCAGTGGCGTATCTAGGGTGCCACAGCTGAGGGGGCACCTGGGGTTGTACAATTTTTTTTCAGGGGGCACTGAAAACAAATGAATTAGGTGCCTGTCTAAACGCTTACCTACATAAATGGACGCAAATGTCCATTTCAAAATTTCAAATGGGGGGGGGGCACCGGGGGCACAGGCCTCCGTGGGGGAGGGGGGCACTAGCCTTACAAATAAGGCTGTAGTGGCTCTCTTTTACAATCTGTCTCTTATCTGGTGGCGACAGATAAAAGACAGATTGTAAAAGAGAGCCACTACAGCCCTGTTTGTGGGGCTAGGGGGGCACGTGCCCCCCGTAGTTACGCCACTGCCTTCATTACTGTGTATTTATAAATACATATACTTTATGTTCTTTTTTAATTAATTAGGACGTCAATTTATTTTCACACTCTTCTTTAAGTTACAAGTTTTTGTTTGATTGTTTTTTGTCAGATCTACAAAATTTTATTCGAATCTTAAAAACATGTTGGGTCTGTAAAATTTCATTTTAAAAAATCGATTTTTAAAAAAGCATTACATTTCTCAGAAAACATGTTCCGATCTTTCAACTCTAATTCTGCTTCGTAGTATCTAACTTTAATGTTAATAGTGTTTGGGGAGAGGATTTTTCACAAGGCGGCTAAACACTTGTGAACTTGAAAAGGAAATTTTCCAAGAGATCATAACCTTGAATTCCAAGTAAAACGCACAAGACCAGCTGTTCGTAAGTATCGCAGGCGGCGCCACTTCTCTCCGATTTTAAGTTGTTCTCCGATTGGGTGAAGTGAAAATGGGCGAAGTGGCAATTGGGCGAAGTGGTAAATGGGCAAAGTGGCAGCTTGCCGCATGACGCAGAGATTGAAAGGTGCGCCTGGAAGAGGCGCTTAAAAATTGAAGGGGTCTGTATGGACCAAGAAATCGTTGGACTGTATAGATATAGCCCAGGATCATCTCTGTAGATTCAGGGGCACCCATCTGGGGGCAAAGCAGACAGCAATGCGATTGAAAATTTGTCAGAGGAGCCTTAGAAAGGTGAGGGGTGTCATTTGGGAAATGGCTGCTGAGAAGACTTGGGAACATTTACTTTTGGGGATGACTTTGTTTGGTGGATAATTTAAAAATGCATTGGTTAACCTACTAAAATTTCAAAATCAAAATCTGAAGGACCAAAAGACACATTTTTTGGGAGGGGGTTGGGGGTTGTTTTTTGTTTGTTTGTTTGTTTGTTGGGGTGTTGGGGTGTTTGTTTGTTTGTTTGCTTATTTGTTGGATTGTTTGTTTGTTTATTTTTCACTGTTTTCAATGGACCATGAATTAGTTCAGAGCACCAGTAATATACAGTTACTAAGTCCTGTGGGTCACGCTGACGGACCGCTGTGCTGCTCAAACGGACGGCGCTGTTAAAATCATCTGGCGCCCTCAATTGTTGGGACACTTTCCAAACTGAGGGTTCGTTCTGTTCATCGGTGTCTTTGGTAGCTAATTTCCAGATTCAGTGAAGTCCCTTAGATGCCGTTTTTATGTGGGCCTATATTTTAAAGGTTTTAATTAGCAAAGAATGAAGTCCGACAACTAGGACCGTAGGCACTGGCCACCACACTGCTGAAGCAGGTATTTAACTCAACTAGGTTCCAGTCGCACCACCCGCACCGATCACGTGCGCAACGTGCTAGCCTTTCTTCACGTTAACACCCCCACTTTGTCTTTTCGTCGTGAAAAAAAAACACAGGGTATTTTGCATGTCAAACTTGTATTTAATTATTAGACATAAGAAACCTTTCAAATGGAGAAACATCGTAGTGAGGTATTGTTTGAGTTCATGAAGCTTACAGTTTCGTCATAAATCGGCTGAGCTGGCAGTGACTGGGGTTTATATGGAAATGAGAGGTCCCAGACGGCCCCATACACTCCTTGAAACCAAACTTTGCACCGCTGTGCACACATGAGTTGAACCATGGTGGAAGGCCTTGACTCTTAAGCTAGTCCCAACGACATGGGCATACCTTTGGTTTGTACAATGTATGTACGTCTTCTGTCTCATAAGCTTTTTCTCTAGGCCTAGTATAAGCCACGTGACCGAATCCGAGTACTTACAGCAGTTGTTTCCTTCTTCCGTGCTAACAGCTTTAGGTTTTTGTCGTTTATGTGCTGCAGTAGCCCTGTCAGTAGCCGTAGCCATAGCCGTGCCTGTTTTAAACTCTGCCCAAGCACCTACATGACAGAAATCAGTGAGCCTGACTGAGCTCGACCACTGCAGACCTTCATTCACGCTTTTTTTCTGTGACGGTAGACTCCAACACTCACAAAAAGCCTGCCTTCCACAAAGAGGGTTCAGTTTGCAGCTGCAGCAACCATAGAGCCTGAGTTTCTTAAGGGTGCACTGAAAGGGTTGGGTTTTTCAAATTTTTTGGCATCAAACTAAAAAAAGTGGGTAGACTTGGAGAAAAAGCCCGTTGTCCTGCTTTGTTTCGCCATTGGTACAGAGATTCAACAAGGAGATACAGAATAAAGGTCTTTAACTTCAAGGGGCATCGAATACCATCGATACGACCCCCAGATGAAATTTCCTTTTTCTCCGGGCATATTCTGATGGCAGACCTAATAGGCTTATAGCCCCGTGTGTCATCGCTGCGCAGCGCCGGCCTTATCCGGCTTTTGTTCGGCCCTGCGCCGTCTGGTTTATAGCCAGTGGACCTGTGTGACTCACTAACAATCACCCTGGTTTAGCATTTCACGAGGATGGAAAAAAAACGGCGTGACTGGCTAGCTGTCCGTCATGTCACTTGCCTGACATTTTTTGGATAGGTTTCTGTGGAGTCATGACAGCAATTTGTCTCTGTTATCTTTCCAGGTAGTGATTGCACTAACTGATCGAATGCGGTGAACTTGCAGAGGTCAACCAATGAAGCACGCAGTTCTTTGTTCTGGTACCACCATTGCTAGTCATGATATTAGTCATGCTCCCGTCTGCCGTTTAATTTTGTGAAGAATGGTCTTACTGGTAAGAACATTTATCCGGGATACGTCAATATAAATACAGTAGTTTTGTGTAACTATCACGTGTGATAAAACGTTCACAAAACTGTTTTGGAAATAGGTACAAAATAAAAACGGCAATGAAGTTAATAAAGATCAATATGGTTCGGGGAGAAAACAAAGCTGATGCGTTTAGTCCAAAACTCAAAATGTCCCACTCTAAAGTTTTCCAGTCGGCAACAATCACCCAATTTTTCCCCCTTCTTCTTCTTCTTTTTTTACGATAGCAACACAAGAAACGCTCTCCAGGCTGTCACTCCAAACCTTGTTTTCTGGTCAAAAGCAGAAAAGCAGCAAAGCCCAAAACGAACTGACACTTCTGCAACTTTCGAGAGATAAAAAATGAGCAAGGCTCGCTTTGAAGAGAAATTCGATCTGCAGTTTCCCCGTGCACTATGCTCCTGATTCTCGTCCTAGTACACAATGGCAACTTCTTTCTCCAAATTTTTAGCATCAGCCTCTCCAAAGAGTAAAATTAGCGACACAACTTTTGACAAGATTGCTGGGAGACTGTACTGCTTGGCCTTTTCACCCCTGAGCACGCTACATTCTGGCTCCCAAGGGGAAGACACATCCACGAACAAAGCCCCAAGAACCCATAAAATCCCTGGCGGTGATTCACTGAGCTTACACGTAATTATTTGTGAAAAGGTGGAGGGCTACGGGGGAAAGAAAGAGCTGGATGATTCATGCAATATGCTGGTCATATTTCTTCTTTTTTTGTCCGAGAGGTTTTGTATACATGATTGATTCAGCCTTTCCATTGTTAGACCCGCATCATGTTTTCTCCGCTTGATGAGCATGAAGTGCTCTGGTATAGCGAGAGAGCAAGTAAGTCTTGCCGGGGATTCGGCCGAGCTGCGCCCTAAATGACGAGGTCTTTGTTCGGCAAGTCTTAATTTGATCTCACGGTCGAATGGGCCATTCTCTCGGCGAATGCCAGTTTTACTTATAGCATCTAGGTTTCGAAATTGCCTCAAAATGCAGCGGACCTGATCCGAAACCACTTTCGGTCTGCTTATTCCCACAAAAGAGACTTAACTCTGCTCAAACATTTCCTGCTCTTAACATCTCCAGTCATTCGCAAACTGTGTCTCTGAAAGTAGTTCCACTTGAAGACATCTTAAGAGATAGGACGTGAGCCCATGGTATGGACAATGTAGACCACGAATTTAATGTAAGGAGTTATCCACTCTTCAGACAAAACGACCGGTAGCCCATAACCAATTGGCTATCCTCGTGCAGCTTGTTTATCGCGAATTGGGTGTGGTTCTTGAAGCTTTCGAGATAATACACTTTATTAAGGAAAGTTCCCTAGTTTCGGTTGTTATAAGCTGAAGTTTATATCAGTTTTTATTAACCAGAGGGGCTGGTGTTTTAACCTCCGCCCCACATAAACACCAGACCATCAACACTTTCTCTTCTCATGAGACTTAACTTATAGCCTTATGGGGTGTAGGAAAATCGATGTTGTCGCCAATCAACATATTCTCATTAGCTGCTTCGTCTTATCCCATTTCAACCCCTCCCCCCGTGACCCTCATATTTGAATCCTTGGTGTCTTTTCTTCTTCATGTTTCAGAAAGCAGCAAAGTGCTAAATAATCCATTTTAACAGACTGAGGAATGCAGGCAAGGAAGGAATCTTGTCATCATATTGCTACCTTAGCCTATCCCGGAGCTAATAAACAGAACGCCCCGTCCTTCTCAGCCTTTCTCACCGCTGTTCATCTCCTCTTCATCAGTGCGTGCTCTGCAGTTGTCAGATCGTTAATCTCAGAGCCGATACCGTTTGCGGTCAGTGACATTCTTTGGTTTGAAAGATTTTTTTTTAAAGCAAAAGATGAATTTGGTCACCTGTCTTGTAGCCCTCTCAACAAAGTAAGAAAACCCTCATCTTTACCGGGTATGCTGCACCAGAGTTTTGACCATTAAAGCGCAAGCATGTGTAATACGTTATTTCGACCGTGAACCCTTGATGACCGGTACGAGGGATTATTCACTCCGAGTCGACACGGCCTCTCGCGCGCCGAGCCACGGCAGCATCTCCCCCTTCGGATGACTCTCGTCGTTTGTCTCAGTCGTCTCTTTCGTGCGATTGGCTGAGGAAAAATTGCCTAGGTATAATTACGCTGTTAAAATAATTAATATTGATTACTACTCTAAATTAAAAAAAAAATGGAAAACCTGGGGGAGGGTTTTTGAATTGCATGGGTTCGTCGTCAAACCGCAGAGTGGGTGACTCATGCAGGTGAACCGGACCTGAACGCGACGCGCGCGCCAGGGTTCGGGGTTTCATGGAGACGAGCCAGAGGACAGTTGACAATCTTCCCATTTTGAGGGTGATATGGAAAACCACGTTACAATGTTGGGGGTATAAAATCGCCAGGAATATCAGATTAACACAGATGAATGTGCCCTGAGGTTATGACGAACCACATGTCACAGATTGCCGAGAGCGGAATTTGAATTTTTCTTGAAGACCGCGGTCTTTTTTAAGCCGTGGGTTTTTTGGGATGCAACATGATCCAAAATCGTTTTGTTATTCCGTAGTTTAAATACACTGCGTTTTATTTTGAACACGCTAAAAGAATACTTGAAAGTATTTAGGCAAGATGCACAGAAAGTAACCAAAAAAATGTCAGAACATTTCTGTACAATTCGGGGTTAAGGGATCTGCGTAAAAAGTATTTGCTACAAATTAAATTTATATCTTGGCCTATCGTGCAGGCTGCTCTTTTTGTATTTCGTTTATTTCGTATTTCATCATTTTCAGATGAAATCATCTTTGACTTGGAAGAAATGAGAACAGATCATTTTATTTTTTAATATTTGCACCCTCAAATCTGAGAACATCGCAGCAGACTATGTCCGTTAATTTGTGGTTCTCCGTAGCAAAGGTGGTCAATGGTTTCAAAGCCTGAGATTGCCCCACTTGGTTGCAGCCTAGCCGTCTGTGTTGACAGAGGGCGCACTTTGTTACTTACACAGCCGGAGATCATGCAAAAGGCGATCTATGAAACCATATTGAAGACTGACAAACTGGGATTGCTTTTTGCTTCAATTTATCCGGGTTGGAGATCAAAGACAGATTTCTGATCTTCAATTGTATGTGCAATTTTCAACGAATAGCCGCCACATTAACCCGAACTTTCGCTCAAGAATTTACCCCCCCCCCGAAATACGCTCATGACCGGTTATTAAACAGCAGTGCCCAAATGGAGGTGGAAAACAAACACAAGGTTTATTTTTCTTTTCTTTCTTTTTTTTTCTTCTTCTTTTTCTTTGGGGAATTTCTATCCTTAAAAGTACCGAAGAGCAGAATTAGAAACCCGCAGTCAACAAGAAGAGGTCCCCCTTTACACATTGTGTAATATGCAGGCGCGCCTGGTGCACACCCAAGTTAGAGTACAGCGTAGAGTATTAACACCCCCCTCGTAGAAAAATGCCCCAAACAGGACAACGCACGTTCAGAGGAACTCTGCGTATGCAGAAATCCGTCCTGATGAAGTCGCCCAAATCATTGTCAACATTTTGCTACCTGTTTTATTTTATCATTTTTCACTTTTCCAGCCTTCAAGTCGCACTCTTATTCAGAAAATTGTATGGCTATCCATCTTGCAGTACTTTTAGCCAGCTCATCCATATTGCTTGGCTTTTCTGCCTAATAAAGACAACCCATGTACAACCAGCACGATGATGCAATGAAGTCATGAATCATTTATAGTGACCCAAAGTAACTCATTCTTGGAATTTCGACATACTTGCGTCAAAAGAGTGCACAATGATTAACTACTTTGTTACATTATAGGCCTGCACTCATCCAATTTTGGTACAAACCACACACTTACGACAATGGTTCATAACTTATAAACTCGTCACAGTTCAGGGTTTTTTATGATGGCTATCATGATGATTGCCGTGACTTCACGCACATTAATTTTGCAGTAAATTGGCTTCACACGCATTGCAATATTGTCACGGTCAGGAGATGGACATGATTATGGTTGTGTGACACATGGCGGTGGCATGCTTGGGGAGAATACAGGTACCTGATACCGCGGGAATCGGGTTCACAGTTGCCGTTCAGTCGCGTCCCATCACCATCGATTTGACTTATTCACCGTGGAGTTATTTTAGGCGTTCCCCAGATGGACACATTTGGACCATTTGGAAAACAGAGGAGAGTAGGCCGATGACGACAACATGCAATTAAAAATTATGTGTAATTTTGCCGCGCGGTGGCGACACACGAGCACACACAAGGCCGGATCTAGGGGGCGCAGGGCGCATGCCGCCCCCCCCCCACTTTCAACCAAAAATAATTAATTAATAAAAAGAGAAATAAAGAGGGATGGGAAGAAAAAAGGGGGAAGGGACCCAGCCCCATAAATGTGTCAAAGGCGTAAAAAACAGTTCTGCTTCCTTTTACCCAACCCCCCTAATTTTACGGCCGCGACCATACAATACATACAATATTTAGTTCACGCCCCCCCTTTGGAAAATTCTGGATCCACCCCGGACACAGAATGCAGT